AAAAACTTAAAAAAACGCTTAGAAATTGTCAGAATCTTGAAATATTTTTTAAAAAATTATTGATTTAAGTAGTCAAAATAATGAGCAAGTAAATTATGAATATTGATGTTATGAATATATTTGAGTGATTCCCAAGCATATAGATTAAGTAATTTCGTTGTAATTTCAACTATAGTGATTTTTTAGAGGTGTTTTCGCAAATAATTATGATCGAGTCAAAATTATACAATCGTGTTTTTGAACAATTAAATTCAAGATAAAGACATGAATTTACCTATATCAAAATTCCACTTTCCTAGTGGTGTCATAGTCCTATACTATTCGATGAAAGGAGGTGCATTTTTTCGCGGTGTCGCCTTAAAGGCACTTGAACGGCTGAACAAACTCTAAATTCGGATAGTAATAAGTCTTTTAAATTACAATTCTACTTGCAAATCTAGTGCAGGGCGTGCACGTGAGATAAACAATCGAAAACTCATGTGCTACTGAAGTTTTTAAGGTCACATTTACAAATCAATATCATGGTATACCCAGGCTACTCTCCTAGTTCGTTCGTGACACCTAGACATCTTCTCTATTTAAAATGTTTGAGGATGTTTTTTAATTATAATAGCTTCGTGAATCATCCTTGGTTGCAATCGGTGTTCTTTTACGAGGATTTGTAGTCTATCAAATCTGATATAATGCTTGGAACGATCCTGAACATGTTGACATATTGCAGACTACCGGAGCGTCGGTGCTTCAAATCAGCGATATGTTCTTTCATGCGGAATTTTATGGATCTTTTTTTGTCCTATGTAAGTAAGACCATATTCACAATCAAGCTTGTACACTCCTGCATCTTGTAGAGGGATTACACTTGATGGATGGTAAGAACTGACTAATCTTCTTCGGCGGCTTGTAGTATGTTCTTATGGAAGCCCGATTCAAGATGTAGCCTATCTTATCTATGACTTCTCTACATAAGGTAGTACAGCAGGCATACGCTCGTCTGTGGCCGGTTCCACTCAGTCACTGTGACGGAGTCGCGGGACCCGAAGCTTGTAGTCGTGCAAAGCTTGCTTGAAACAAAGATTTTCCCACGGTAGCGAATTGGGAAAGATGGTGATGAGTTTCACCGTTTAAATATTTGTTAATATGAGTCTTTCTTCTATAAACAGTGTGCACTATCCTTTTTATTTATGTAAATTTTTAAGTGCTTAGGTCTAATAGTTTTTAGGGGTTCGAATTCACATGCGATGCTAACACGCTTTCGTTTAGTTTGTCCTATTAATGTAATAAGATATTAAAGAAGTAAATTTTTAATTTACTAAAAATGAAATATGAAATATCCGTATGTGTGCCTAACGGCGCTAATAACGATTGATCGTAACTTGATCGTGCTTCTCAATTCGAATTGGTTCGGGAGTTAGCTTTTAAAATCAGTTTCGAAAAAAACGTTAGTTTGTATCGAAAATCGAATCGAGTTTGAAATCAATTTGGACAGTATAGTATAGTTATTTGGTGCTGAAAAAACAGGTTACCTGAAAAGTTTTCCAAGAGTTTTGAAAATTGATGATTTCATAGATTTTGATATGGTCTTTTTAAATTTCTACTTTTTCACCTCGTATCTTTGTCGCTCGCGTTTTTTCGACGATCAACGGTGTGGAAATCAGTTTTCTCATACGCTAAAAGTATTTTTGATTTTCCAAAAAAAAGTTTATTACGTAAATAATAGGAAAATTATCTAGTTTAGTTAATTATAGAAATGTTTTTATTGCAAATTGCGTCTGAAATGTTTTTATTGCAAATTTTTCCGTAAGCTCGGCGCGAGTCGAAAAATGCCAAAGGGGAAATTCGGAACGAGTACATAGGAATCTTATATAATTTTACCAATTTTCAAAACTCCCAGAAAATTTTCCAGGTAAAACTACCAAATGACTGTACTAGTAAGCCTGTTTATTAACAGTTTTATGTGTATAATACGAGTACTCGTATGTATGTACTATGTATCTGCAGAAAAGTTGATCCTTTTCATATAGTAGTAAAAGGTCTCAAACTAAAAGTTCGGCAATAGAAATTTAATAATCTTGGTTTGCTTTATATTTAGCTTGTAATAATGTTAGTAAATTATCATACTGTTGAATCATCAAATATAACAGCTACAACGTCAAACGCGAGAATAAAATACCTAAGAAAATTCGCGCTTTAAGGTAATGTGAAAAATAACCTCGAGAATTTATTTGCTGTTATAATCATTCACTAAAATTATTTGTGGTTGTGTTGACCTTCAGAGGAATGGTTTATAAGAATGTTGATTTCTTTAAGGATTTGTTTTTGAATATATTACAGCTAATATATTCATTTTCTATTTAGAGAAGCGTAAATTTTTTACAGAGGCCTGAGTATGAATATTATGTGATATAATATAATGTAGGCACGTTTGTTTCATCTGAACATGTTCGTTAATTTAAATATTCATTTTACATTATGCGTATTAGTGGTTTTTTGAAGATTTTCAAGAAAATACAGGCAAATCGTGTAAGGTTCGAACAATAATGATCAATTACGTGGGTGGTCTGAAAAGATTCCGACCGAACAATGATACAAGACATTTTTTCTAAAAAAAAATATTATTATTTTTCTACATAGTCTTCTTATAACTCTACGCACTTCTCCTAGCGATGCTTCCATCTCTCTAACCCGTCCAAATAGTACTCGGCGTCTCTCTGCAAAATAATTGTTCATGATGGTGATTTCCTCCTCATTTGACGAAAATCCGAGCACAATTTTTAGTGAGGGAACAAAAAGGAGTCGCTTGGGGCTAGATTTGGTAAGTAAGGCGGATTCCTGGTTTTTAGCCATGGCAACCGCTGAGGTGTGAGACGGCGCGTTGTCATGGTGAAACAGGATTTTCTTTTTCTGCAAATGTGGCCGTGTTTTCCGCAAGGTCTGCCTTCAGTTTGTCAAGTAATGATGCCCTCTTTTCCACGTTTTGAAAATAATCGGTAAGATAACTACATGACTATCCCAGAAAACAGTCGCCATCACTTTTTCAGCTAAAAACAGTTTTTGCTTTTTGGAGCCGGTTCCCTATGCCGTTCCGGGAGCCGGTGGTTTTGACAGTATTTTTGTTTCGAGTGTATAATGGTGTATCTAAGTTTCATCTACAATAATTAATTGGTGCCAAAACTCTGATTATTGCACCTAAGCTGCGCCAACAGTGCGTTGGAAATGTTCATTCGACCACGTTTTTAGTCTAACGTGAGCAAACGCGGCACCCACCGCGCTGACAGCTTTCTCATGCCTAAATCTTGATTTAACTTATGTGACAAACACGTTCTTTGGACATTTTTATAGCCTCTGATATCTCTCTCACTTTAATTCGGCGGTTGTCTAGCTAGAACTTTAGCGATGTTATCGTCTGTAGTTGCTGTTTTTGGACGTACCGAACGTTCATCGTTTCCCAAGCTCTCCCTGCCACGTTTAAATTCAGTGGATCAAAATTTCACTGCGGTAAATGATGGTGCGAGTCCCCGTACACAGTCTAACTCATCTTTGATTTGCGAAGGCACCTTTCAAAAACAAAAATTTAGTGACAGATTGATACTCAATTTTTTCCATTTTCACAAAAACACACATTGACCCACTCAAACTACTGTTTAATATACGCGTCCAAAATGGTAACTCATCTTTGATTTGCGTAGGCACCTTTTCAATAACAAAAATTTAATGACAGATTGATACTCAATTTTTTCCATTTTCACAAAAACACACATCGACCCACTCAAACTACTGTTTAATATACGCGTCCAAAATGGTAACTCATCTTTGATTTGCGTAGGCACCTTTTCAATAACAAAAATTTAATGACAGCTTGATACTCAATTTTTTCCATTTTCACAAAAACACACATCGACTCACTCAAACGACTGTTTAATATACGCGTCCAAAATAACTGAAGTTTAGCGGGTAACTATCAAAAGATGCACAACTACATTCATTATATTTTATTAACGAGTGTTGCCATCTGCACTATGAGGTCAGAAACTTTTCAGACCATGTTAGTATCTTTGCTTCTATAGTATATGTACGTTGGGCGCGGACCGCGAACTCAAAAAGGTCGTGGGTTCGAATCCGCCATTCGACTACTGGCGTGAACCACTCGTAACACAAGCAATTTAAGCTTACCACGAGTGGTTAAGGGGAATATTAGTAATGTTTATAGCATTGTTAATATTCTTTTATAAAGTAAAAAAAAATTAAAGAAATTATAAAATTTAAAATTTCGCATTTGTTCATATCGGTTGCTATTTATTTTCATTTCTTCTTTAGGATCGTGTAATAATTGCAATTTAAAAACCATTGCAGTGCCACTATCTTTGTTATTTTTGGTATTATGCGACAGCAGCAATTAGCGGCGGTGTCGTAACGCTTTTTTGCTTTTAATTAGACTTTAGAGGCTTTTGATGTCCACGATAATTAACTTTTTTTTTAACAGTAAAAGTTAACTTTAAAGAACTAAAAAGAATATAATAATTTCACATTATGGAGACGATTCCAAGGCATAGTGTAAAAAGAATAAAAGCCCCGACTTCGTAATGTGAAATAATTATATTATTATAGTTCATTCAAGCGAGGTTTTACTTTTAATCAAAAGTTTTTTCTTCCGAGTGAACGAATAAATATCACAATCTCACCGTCGTCTAAAGTTACATCAAACATTTTATTAACCCTTTACCGCATACCGTGACAAATATGGAACACTCAACTTTTGTTGTAATATATTACTGCCTGCGGCGTCTATAATATTTTCTCGGAACTAATTCGTACTAGAGAGTGTAACTCACCTAAATATGTAACAGTGGTGCCTCTTTAGAGACGCCTAGGAACTAAAATCGACTGTTTCGTCAGTCGGTTGCCAAAATTTGACAGGTCGACAGTTAGCAGATTTTCAATACGATTTTTTATTGTTTTTTTCTTAATATCTGAGGATTAATTGTGATTTACCGGATAGAATAATGGACCCACAGGCTTTTTACGGCAAAAGAAGTAAGTTTAAATCATAATATGTATTGAATATTATCATTTTAAAATTGTTCCCAATTTGGAACACCATGCAATTGTTACGTTTTTTGTAGTGCCAAAAATGGAACATTATGCACTCCAGTCAATATTTTAACAGTTCCAAATTTGGAACATTATGCAGTGTTATACCAAGATATATATATATTATATATCTATAGTTTTAGGTCAATTTTTTAACAAATTTTTGTATTGAATATGAAACCGTCAATAACTTACAAGTTCAGAATTCGGAACATTATGCTGCATAAGATCTTTTGATACTTGCAGTTTAATACTATACCCTGCAGCTAATGTAATTTTTAAGTAGGACAAGTAAAAGTAGCGCAGTTTTAGATGTCCCGCCCTGAATATGTATTATATATAGTTATGTTTATACGTGATTATCTTTAAATTTGCTTAATTACTTTAATTGTAGATAAAATAGAGATGCGTCCTCGACGAACAATCGTCGTAATTCCAGAGAGCAGCGAGGATGCAAATGCATCAGATGATGAGACTTACAGTACTCAAGATCCTTTACATATAAATGAAGAAAAAGAAAAGTCTTCCTCGGACGGGGAAGATGAAGAAGAAGATGAAGAAGGAAAAGAGGAACTGGACCAGCTATTTCCTGAGTGCACTGAAGAGCATATGGAGACGTTAGAAAATTTTACAGACAATCAACCTTCTACTTCACAGGCAGCTTCTTCAAGTAAGAAAGAAAAGAAAGATAAATTGGTGTGGTCTGATGACAATCTTCAGTATGATGAATCCAATATTGCTTTTTTGGGATCTGAAAATCTTCCAGATGAAATAATGCAGCTAAATACTCCAATGGAGTTTTTCAAATTTCTTTTTCCATCATCTGCTGTAAATTTAATTGAGGAAGAAAGCAACGTATACGCAGCACAAATTTTCCCCGAAAACTTGAATTCAGTGACACATAAAGACATTTATAAATTTATTGGTATTATTATCTACATGTCGGTAGTACACCTGCCAACTACTCGTCATTACTGGAAGGAGGACACATATGTTGAAAAAGTTGCAAATGTTATGACGTGCAATAAATTCGAAGAGATTAAAAGATTTCTGTATTTTTTCGACAAAACAAAAGAACTAAAACCATATGACCCGCAGTTTGATAGACTTCATAAAATACGCCCACTTATGAAAATCCTACGCGAAAGACTGCTAAAAGTGCCGAAAGAGGAATTTTTGTCCATTGACGAACAGATGATCCCTACTAAGGCCCGAACTTAAGGAATCAGACAGTACAATGCAAAGAAACCCCATAAGTGGGGTTATTTGAATTACGTATTAAGCGTAGTCAGGGGATTTAGTTACGACTTTGAATTATTCGGAGGAAAATACCTAGCACCGCCTGAAAACTGTCCCGATCTTGGAGTGCCGGGAAATGTGGTTCAAAGACTATTGAAGACTGTCTCGGACAATTTGAACCATAAGATTTTTGTCGATAACTGGTACACAAGTTTGCAGCTAATGGCAAACTTACACAAAAAAGGTATTCTGCCATTAGGCACAGTACAACTGAGAAGAGCTCCAAATATAAATATAAATAAAAAAGCTTTAGAAAAGAAAGAACGAGGTTATTGCTCCGAAAAAAGTGTTGCTGTTGATAACGTTAAGCTATCAGTTACCAGTTGGGTCGACAATAAAGCAGTCAGTTTGTGTTCATCCTATGTAGGCAAGGAACCAATGGGAGTTGTGAAAAGATATTCCAAAAAACATAAGCGTAGAGTTGATGTTTCTTGCCCAAAAGCAGTATCAATTTATAATAAATACATGGGCGGTGTCGATTTACTAGATGCCATGTTAGGCTTCTATAGGATCAAAATCCGCAGTAAAAAATGGTACCACCGCCTGTTCTTCCATTTCATTGATCTCTGTTGCGTGAATAGTTGGCTATTATGGCGGAGAGTCATGAAACAAAAGGGTGAAGTAATTACATTCCATTGCTTGACTTTAAATTAACCATAGCAGATGTATTGATGCACAAAGACTCAAAGGTATATACTCCGACTACACGCAAACGAGGACGACCACTGAATCAAGATGTTGAGGCAATTAAAAAGGGGCAATCAAGGCGACGCATAGAACTGCCTCCAATGGAAGTAGCTGGAGACGGGTTCAACCACTGGCCGAATTGGAAAACTGATCGCCAAAGGTGTAAAATGGTAGGATGCACGCAGAAATCCCAAGTGATGTGCGAAAAGTGTGGGTGTTATCTTTGTTTTAACAAAGATCGCAACTGTTTTAAAAACTTTCACACATAATTTTTTTAAATTAAATACTTATTCATAGCTTCACTTTGTTTCTTTTATTTTTATAAAATTCTATTTCAATTATACATAATTAGACCACACCGCATGTTGTACCAAATATGGAACGTCTATGTTATAGAACTAGAACGCATGGTGTTCCATATTTGGAACAATTACTTTTACCTATTTATGTTTTTTTAATGGTGTTCTATATTTATTTAAATATTTTTTGGGGCGCTATATATACCCTATAGTGACATATATTTTTTCCAAAGGATTTAAAAAATTCATGCGGTAAAGGGTTAACTATTGTACCTACTTTAGGGGTGGATTGTTTTCTTCACCTCTTTTTTTCGTCACGGGTTAAAAAGAATCATCAAAATCAATTCGCACTTGACGAAGACATCGTAACGTACCTACATATAAAAAAGAACATACAGTTGAATTGTAAGCCCATTCCTTTTGTAATGTCGACTTAAAATGTGTAATGTTAGTCTCTGCGCGTTAAATTGTAAATATTTCAAATGAAAAAAAATTTAGTTACAATTGTTATAAACAATTACCCTATATACTTTTCCATGATAAAGTTTTCCTCTACGTTAAACTCCATTACTACTTCTATAGCTGTTCGAGCTTAACTGAATGACAAACATGCAAACAGACAAACTTTCACATTTATAATCTGCTTCAACTCATCAGCCTATAAAAGTCCACTCATTGTAGAGAGGATTTGCCTTCATCGTCACGCTGGGCGTTAACTGTATGTTAATATCGTAGGCGATAAATTCATAGTCATCTTATATGTAAATTAAATTGATTACTAGCACTAAAATTTATATTTCACTTCAATTTTACTAACATTCTTATATGGGTTTTCTGTTGCCTGAAATAAAGATTTTTTTAAATTATTTATGAGCTTCCAACACTCATGGGTTTAAAAGGGGTAATGGATTACTTTACTTCACCATCACATGACATATTTTGTAATCTTATATAGAAAAATGAAAGATTGTTAGTATTTTATGTGCTGCCATGCCGTTCATTAGATTGCGATAAAACTTTATCAACTTATTGCTTGCACTTGCGCGAACACTATAGGCATAATACAATTAACTTACAGTACGAGAGTGACACTGAAAGTTCTTAGAAAATTTAAAAACTGAACAAACTAGCAAGTTATTAGTTTTATTATATCGTGATCTGCGTGAGGGACGGCCTTCTACGGCGACGACTGAAGATAACATCAGTATTGTGCGGCGTATGATAAATACTAACCAAAGAGTGACTTATCAGCAGATTTGGACAATGAACATGAACATTTAAGGGGTCTAATAACAAAGGCGGCAAAGTCCCATATCATTATATGGGACTTTGCCGCCTTTTTATTAGACCCCTAATTTAGCGGTCAGTATTCTTTGTGCCTGGTGGGTACCTCATAATTTGACAGAGACCCAAAAACTCCGTCGTGTTGATTGGTGTCGTGAAATGGTTCAAATATTTAACGGAGGTGACTCAAATGCTGTGTTCGACATACTTACGGGTGACGAAAGCTTATTTTATGTTATGATCCTAAAACTAAGAGACAGTCTGTTGTCTGGATGTTTCCTTTCGAGGAGTTGCCAACTAAGGTGAAGGGAGGTCGAAGCGTGGAGGAAAAAAGATGGTGGCCTCGTTCTTCGGAAGGACCGGTCATTACGCACAATTGTTTTAGAAGATTGAAAAACGGTTACTGCTGAGTGATACACTAACAATAGTTTGCCACTTGTCTTGGAAAAAGTTCGGGAGAAACGACATCGCAGTAGGATCCTCCTTCACTACGACAACGTCTCGTCGCACACCAACAAGCAAACAATCGACTACTTGGCGACGTCAGACGTGGAATTACTGGGTCACTCGCCTTATAGCCCCCGACCTCGCGATTTTTATTTATTTCCGAAAATAAAAGAAAAACTTCGAGAAAAAAGTTTTATGGACGCCGATATTGCCGTCGAAGAGACCCCTAAGGACGAGTGGACAAAGTGCTTTTCTCAGTGGTTCCATCGGATGCAGCGATGTATTGATGTAAATGGACACTATTTTGAAAAGATATAATAACTGTTTTTGATTTCCTAAGAACTTTCAGTGTCACCCTCGTACTAATAAGACATCGTGATATCTTCGTGGCGTGTTGTATTCCCGGTAGACTTGCCAAATAATTTTATTAGTAAAACTACTGGAATTTTTTACCAAGTAGAACTAACTGTTTTTTTTATTGAAAATGGGTGACAAACGAGCACACAGTTCATCTGATGGTAAGTGGATACTGTGGCCAATAAACCATTTACGTCTATCCTCGATTAAGAATCAAAATGCAGATGCGTTGCCACCCCTGGGAACTATGATGGAATTCCTTGTTTCTAGTAAATAGGGTCTCCGGTTCTCTATACTCGCCATACGAAACACAGCAGCATTGAACTGCTATTTTACGCTGGTGTTCTGTGAGAGCGTGTTCCTTCAGCGGTCAAGCCGACCCATTCGTGCTACAACCATATAAATATAGCTAAAGCATGGCTCTACCACGTCTAAAACACTAGTTTGTCTTTGGTAAGACCACTAGGGTAGAGAAAACTCAGTAGTCCAGTAGAATATTTTCATCAGTACCTAAGTACCTACTTTATTTTATTTATGTCATAATGATGCATTTCGTTTGTTTTTTATAAGTATTGGGAATAGTACTAGGCAAGAATAAACCTGAAAGAAGCAGTGGAATTGTTGTTAAGACCGTATTTCATCACGGCGGCCAGTGCCAACGAAGACTAGATCTGCACGGCACGGGATAAAAGTGCCAGAATGTATGCGCAAGTACAAGTGAACTCTATTCCTTTAGTCTCATCCTTCATGTAGAAAGTAATCATCCAACACGACTGGTGAGAGATCAGGAGCCGAAACAACAGCTGCACGTGCTTTATGACTCCGGGCTGCTACTAAAAATTTCGTTAAAAGAAAAACTCAGTAGCAGTAGTATATTTACTTTATATTATAAAAGTAATAAAAGAAGTAAAAATACGAGCAATTTTATTGAAAATGACAATTTTTATCAAATTGCTTTTTATATTTGGCCATAGATTCAAGTCTAATAAGAAGATTATATCCACCCAATACTATTAGATCTATTTGGTTTGTTGTATTTATAGGTATGTTTATTATTTATATGTTTTGTATCAGAAAATAAAATAAACTACTTAGAAATGATAAAAAATTCCGTGTAGGTATTTTATAGTGTAGGACTATTGAAATTTTTCTTTCGCTGTGTAAGACTACTGGGAAGAAAATTCCCAGTAATCTCACCAGTAAGACTGCTTGATAAGACTACTGGGAATATCCCTATAGTTTGAAGACAGCAGTTGTAGTAGGCATATTGCAAATTTGTTTTCGTCAGTAAAATGTAATAGTTTTATTTTTATATAGAATAAGGATGACAAACGAGTACACAGTTTACCTGATGGTAAGTGCATGCTGTGGCAAATGGACATCTACATTTATCCTCGATTAAGAATCGGAATGAAGATGCGTTGTCTCTTAGAGAACTAGGATAAAATGCCACGTTTACAGTGAAAATGATCTGTTTACAGTGATAAGCGGGTTTTCACTATTACTGTGTACATGTTGACGGTACGTCCTCGATGAGGCGCCATTTCTAATATCACTGTATCCGTACGGACTGTACATTCTTGTTTTGCAAGTTCTAATTGCCATTTCGTTATGTGAACATAGTGAGGATAAATTAAGTTATCTTCACATTAATCACGTTTGTTATTACTTCGGGTTTGGTCAATTAACTAATTTTAGCTATCTTATTTGAAGGATTAAATGGTCGCTTAAGGGGATATAGTAAGTCAGCTCAAATTCTAATTTCGCCCCCACTTCCCCGCGCGTCGTATGCTATGTACCGACATGATTGTAATCACTAATACTGTAAGTAGAGGTCGTTAGATACTT